GGCAGTCCTGGCCGCTGGTCGGAAATTCTTTTAGCTAGGAGCATCTGCCGGAAAAACCAGTGCCGTTAGCAACAAAAATTTGCGAGAGCTGTGCGAAAAACGTATCTTCGCACGGGCAGCCCGTGCGTTGGCCAATTATTGCATTTATGCAGTGCAAAGACGCGTCTTGTCGGGACGCTGTGTGTATGTGTGTCGACCTTTCATCTGGAGACCTACAAAAGTTACAGGGCTGAGACTTTGGAACTTAATCTGCATGCCCCGAAATGGGCGCTCCTACTCGTGCGGTACCCACATGCAAGCGCACGGTTTTTGGTGGGCAAGCCGGTAACTCGGACACTAGAAAAGCTAGGAAGCTGAAATTTCAAAGGGATATCCCCAATCCACGTTGGCCTTAATGAGTTCAAATCCAGCACTCGGGTGTGTGCGGTCGCCACATACGGGCCGTGAAAGTTTCCGTGGATAAGCAAATAACCCTGGAACCTGGGAAGCTAGAGGACTGAAATTTTAGGGGTATGTCTCCGCCAGCATAGGCCTTAATGAGTTAAAACTCAGCCCCCGAGAATTCTTGATTCCCACGCACGAGTCCGTCAAATTTTTTGGCTGGTAAATCACTAACTCAAGAACCAGAAAAGCTAGAAAATTAAAATTTTAAGGGCTGTTCCCCGTCCACGTAGATCTTAATGAATTCAAATACAGCTCCCGGGGATACGTGGTCCCTATGAACAGGCCGATGAAAATTTTTGAAGGGTAAGTTGCTAAATCGGGAGTCAGAAAAGCTAGAAAACTGAAAATTTAAGGGGAAGTTTTCAGACAGCTCTGGTGGCCAGCCTCAGTTCCCTTAGATCTGCTGGAAAAACAGTACCGTTAGCGACAAAAACTGCAGGGAACTATGCAAAAAACGCATCTATGCATCGGCAGTCGATGCGCTGACCATCTATTCCCCACTAAAAGCTTATCGTCCCTTGCACCTAAAATTTTTATTGCACCATGAAATTCCGATGCAGCTTTGTCGGGCTAAAATTCCGTATCACCGCTGTTTGAACGAACGATGGATCTACCGTGTTTATATTTGCACTTAAATGCAGCGCTGTATTTAAGGACCCTGGGTTTCATGGGTCTTGCAGTTCCTACGACTAAATTTCGCGGGCGGATCATTCGCTAAATGTTGCCCATTTTGCATCTGCTGTATGGATATGCTTTGGATAGCTGCCTCCTTCATCTCAGCATTGGGGGTAACAACTTACACAGTTCCTATGTGTTAAAATTCTCGCCCTGACGGCCACTCCGCTGATCGTCTTGTCGGTTCTTTTCTCTGCTTTAGTCTTAAGAATTTCCTAATCCTAAGAGTTCGTTCACTTAAATTTTAAAGTAGCAAAGAAATCTCACTTTTTAAAAAAATTTCGCTTTAAAATTTCATTTTAAAAAATAAGAATGCTTGTTTAGTGGATCTAGTGGAATGCGACTAACTTGTCATGGAACATAATCTGGAATATCTTTTTATTGAAATAGAAAAATGCAAAAATAAAGTGAGATAGGGGGAAGATGGTGTATAACACAATGAGTAAATAGTGTAATGTTCCAGCTCTGATGGCAGATTAGTAGTGGTTCGTGCCAGAGAGTTAAAACTGCCATCATTTTTATTTGGAGGTATTAGAGAGCGGGCCACTGACAACCTTGCTAGCCAGTGGCTATTGGTGGGCGTGCTATCTCATTGAACCTGCTCTTGATCTTATAATTTCGTTTATAATTTTGTACGAATCGCATGAGTACAGACAGTGACTAATGTCAGGTTTCAAGATAATGTAAAATACGCACTGAAATGAGAAGAGTTCATGAAAAGACGGTGTAACCAGCGGATTATCAGTCTCTCTTCACAGACACATGGCGTGGATATATTATTACAGGCTAATAGTGTCCAGCAACTGGACATGCCCTGTTGGTTAGGCGGTCTCAAATTCACAAATAGCATCAAGAAAATATAAAAGCCTGAACCATGAAACAATTCACCAAACAAAATCAACAAAGCATCGCCAAAATATACGCACTCAGTGATTAAGATGTGCGACACTCTCCGTTATCTGCATTCTTCTTCAGTGAGTTTTTAATGGACGAATGTGAAGTCCGTTCTGTAGGCTCTTCCTTCTCCGTAGGAACATCTCCCGAGTTCTCGCTGAGTTCTACTGCAAATATTACTGTTATTGGTATTTTACACAATACTTAGAATTATCTTTAGAATAACGCTCCTCAACGGACTGCGCAAAGAACTAAAACGGGACAAGGTGCAAAGGCGAAAAAAGATAATAAACCAACATTTTTCAAAGCTTGATACGGCACTGCAAGGCGAATCACTTCGCATTTCCTTTTCGCATGCTTTTGTAGAATGACCTGCTGGAGCTTCTATGTTGCCCATTCTTCGATTCACTTCTCGGGTATCCTCACCATCCTTGAAAATGTGCATAAAGATGCGGCAATTACTACGGGAACTGATGTTACTAATATTATTACAGTGCGTTTACACGCTTCGCTAGGTTCTCCTATTGTATGTCCCAGATTATCTTTCGATTATCTCGCCTCATCTTTCGATTTTATCCATGGTTGCAATGACATCCCACACGTCACTGGTCCGACCGGTCATCCTCGTTTTCTTTTTTAAAAAAAGGTACAAACTATTGCGCATCGGTGTTGAAGTTTTATGTTAAAAAATATTAGCCAAAACTTCGAACTATACTTTGAAAGGGGACGAAGGAACTTGGACCCTAAGGAATATGATAACGGATAAGTGAATTATGCGTCCACTGTTTCTAACCTTTTCGGCTTGCAGTTTAGCAAGCTGTTGTTTCAGTTCAAATATTTCATCACGCAGCCCCTGCTCAATAGCATCTGCGTCGTCACATGCTTCTCCTAATCGCGCATTTTCTTCCTTCAGCACTTGCAGCTGATGTTCAGTCATCTGTAACAAGTCTGCTTCAGTAGCAATCTAACCTTACAGCTACATTTTGAAGTATTTATACTCTACATACCTGCAGTCTTTCGTTGGTCTGCTGAAGTGCAGAAATTTGCTCTTCCTTTTCTTTTTTCACAGTTTCCAATTCGATTTTGAGCTCTTCCACTTGACCGTTCTGTTCGGCCTCGTGCAATTTGTCGAACAGTCCGCTTATTGTTTTTTTTACTTCCTCGATTTCCCCTTCCAGCACTTTTTTCACTTCAGTCGAAAGCAACTGCACCACATTCGTGTTCTGCTAAAATAGTATTTTTTTTATTTGAAAGCAGACTTTTCTCCTCAAAGAGCGGCAACCAATAATAGTGGCCCACACGAGTCGGGACGTGAGCCGCGATTCTCATGGCATGCCTCCCCCAGATTGTGAGCGGTTTTAGCTGGCGCGTTGCTGTCGAGGTTGATTTTCTTGCATAACTGCGTATGAGGAAAGCAATGGTCAACATTTCGCGTTTTTTTTGTTTCTCGAGAGATTCCGGAGTGAAATTTTCTCCTTCCAAAATCTCACAGAATCATAAAACTGAAAGATGCATATGACTACTACTGTCTCACAGATCCCATCAAGCCTATAAACGAATGTAGATTGCCTGATCAAGCCAAATCGAGTTTTAGCAGTTGTTCCACGGAACCCACAAAAATCGTAGATAATTTTACTCAAGGAACTTGGAGGGCCTAAAAACATGAGCCGAACACTTCGAGCTACATCCCAACCTCCACGCTCACAGATTTGGGGGATGTACCTAAAAATGTCCGATACATATTCGAAAGGCTGAAAGAAA